TCACTGCTCTCGGTGTTATACATACTCCATCTTTACCATCTGTGGTAAATCCCCATGGATTAAAACCAAATCAATTATGGCAAATGGATGTAACTCACATTTCTCAATTTGGACCAGATCCAGTGATTATGTGGGGTAGAGGTCATGCTTGTATTTTCCCAGAAGGTGCTTTCCATTCTATTTGGGTACCTGAAGGCACCATAAGGCATGGAGGACTTAGAACCAAGATTCAAACGACTAAGGATTGACCCAGAGATGCCAGACCTGGCTTCCCCCAACAAGAAGAACTCTCAAAGGAAGAGAGGAAGGAAGATGGCCCAGAGAGACTTCATGGGAGGAGTTGAAGAATCTGATGCTGTAGGCTTAACAAATGATTCAACAACAAGAAAAAATTAAATCTCTAAGGATGATGCTTGCTGCAATATTAGCTCTATTGAGCTGTCAGGTAAATGGGAATCAGGGAGAAATCTATTGGACATATTTTCCAGGTGCACCTTTAGAACACCCAGCAGTGTGGACTGGAGAATCCTTCTCAGTATTTACTAATGACTCATATATGATGGGAGGATTTACAGACACCCATATTACTCCCAATCATGTGACTGGGTTTAATTATTCTGGTTATAGTGCTCAATTGCCTTTGTGTTGGTCCCACAATAAACTTGCTGCTGTCTAAAAGTGTCCTTTGAGAAAAAGACAGCATTTGGGAGACCTAGACCAGCTAATTGTACTGTTCCTGGAGACTCAAAATCTTATATCACATCAGTTATTAAAATGGGGCTTTCTCATTAACAAACCAGTCATCTCAGAAGAACGTCCACAAATACCTCATTTTCCTAATCATTCTGTGATAGAAATTGTCATCTTTCATAAGATGGATTGTATAAATACTTTTCCAGTACAGCATAAGTTATCTAGAAATAGTGGGTATATTTTGGACTGGTCTCCTAAAATTGACAAAAGGCAATGGTGCAAGGGTATTACCAAGACTCCTGGAGGATTTATAACATCTTGACCTTCAGCAAAGGTGGCATTCAAAAAGATGTTTGGTGCTTAATTTCTGCCTCAGAATTCTTTACTGACAAACCTTTACCAGATTTAGTAGGCAAAAACTAAATAACAGGAGGGTTCCTGTTATGGTCTATGGGCCTATGTTCAATCTCCTGACATTTTAATTACTGGAAATGTGAAAGTTAAAAGAAAGAATGATAGATATCTTGTACATGTAATAAATGTAATTTAACAAAGTGTATCACCAGATATAATAGAGGGAAAGGAACATTGACACTTCATTAGCCCTCTTTTGTCTCATTGCCAGCTAACATTTTAGAGCTGTGGTATGCTGATGCTGGTTTTAATGTTGATGCTGGTTTTCATGTTGATGCTTACAACAATTTACATGTCCAGCTAGTGAGACCTAAATGTGCTCCTGGACTCTGTAATAGTGGGAGTTGTTGCTTTAGTTTCCCTTATGGCTTCAAGGGTCACAGCTTCAGTGGCCCTATCTCAAAATATTCAACATGCAAATTTTCTTAAAATTTAGCTTAGAATACTTCCAAGGCTCTTCATAATCAAATAAATATTGATGAAAGGATTGAGGCTAAGTTAAATGCCTCAGAGGCTACTGTCATAAATATTGGTAATGGACTTTCAGCTTTGAAATTCAAGGAAAGACTCATGTTAACTATAAGTATGTGTATGTTACTGCTGCCAAGTACAATGCCTCCCAATGGGAATGGGAGGTTAAAAACCATGTTAGGTATTTGGTAAAATAATACTAACAGCATGGATTTTTTGGTGTTACATCATCATATTCAAGATATACAAAAAAAGTAAGATTGATTTTTCAGATCTTACTTCTTTAGATAATCAAATACTTAAAGAATTGAATGAATTTAACCCTGGTAACATTCTTACATATTCTGCATGGTATATCCTTGTACTGTTCTCTTTGCTACTAATTCTCTCTTGTATTCTAATTGTAGGATGACCAGCCTTTAGAACAAGAATTTGGGGACTTGAAATAGTGACCCATCATGTACTTTTTCAAATTAAGAAGGGAAAATATGTGGGAAGCTACTCTGAATGACCCACACCTTCCAGTACTGAAGCAAGAAGCTCTGACCAATCACTACATTGGTGGTGACTTGGGCATTGGTGTGTCTTTAGATGTAGGTGTCACCACTGGGGTTGAGTTACACTCACCTGTCGCTTGTAACCCTGCCCCTTCTAGCCTTTTTGGATAGAACTTTCTAAAGAACAAGAGTCCCTCCAATAAAAGCCCACTTCCAAAGGTACTCGCTCTCTCTCACCAGCCTCTTGTGACTTTCTCTTGATCTCTCTTTTGGGGATCCTGAGGCTGATAGTGAAAAAGCCATCCTAAAGCTTGTTTAAAGGTAAAGGGTGTCTGTGTTTTTATTTGGTGTCCCTACAAATTCATACGAGTCATCTTAAGTTCAGGTGCCCACACAGGTTGGGGGCAACAGAGATCCTTTTGCCTCAGCCTCCTGAGCTGCTGGAATTATAGGTATGTGTCAACATTTTTGGCTGTGGTAAACTTTTGAACATGACTTGTATATATTCCAGTGTCTCATCGGAATAAGAACTTTGTTTTTTTCCTGTGTGGTGCCAGGTGCTTCTGTTTCTGTGAAGACCTAAAAAGGGACAGGTGTAATCTGGAGTATCTCATAAGGACTCAGTGGT